AAACATTAAGAAACATGGCGTCGATCGATCGGAGGACTATAAAGAGTAATTTTAAATGGTTAGATTTGATCTTCTGTTAGCCACTAAGGTTCTCATGCACCAAGTGATAAAAGCAACCATTACAAAAAAAAAAGAAAAAAAAAGAAGATTTCTAGAGGCAAGAAAGATACGAGTTCGTATAAGATCAAAAGCTTTTCCTTCATTTCCGTCCCGCTTTTCATTAACGATCGTAGATTGGCAATCTAACTAGAGGTGATGAAAAGCAACTAAAATTAAAATGAAAGAAATACAAACCAAAAATTAACATTGACTTTCTTGGTGAATTCGAAGAGGCATTTTATAAAATTCATTTTTTTTAAAAAATTAACCCAGGGAATATTAAGTCGAAATAACTGTCATTTAGCAAAATACAATTTTATTTAACTTAGGGGAAATTATCTTTGCTTAACGAACGCTGAATAAACACTTTGATCAGTTCGCCAAAGAACTTCTACGAAAAGAAACAGACGTAAGAAAAATAAAACCTTTCAGAAAGGATGGTTCCGTTTTCACTAGTTGAGCGTTCTAATCTCAAAGCCAAACACAAACGGAAGTTCACAATCGAATAGTTCTCTAATCTACTTTGAGAACGGCCTAATGGATGAGCTTGATTCTGTCACACGATGTAGAGCAGTACGTATATGCAAACATATCGCCATCATCCCCACGATCGGTTGCAATCGTGTGGTCGCTGTGCAGCTGATCACCTAGCCACACATATGGGTTGAAAGCTAGAGAGTTATTTATTCATGCCTAGTCTGTCTTGGGCAAGTAGATCTGGCAGACCCCATTGTTGACTATATCGAGGAAACCCTCTGCTCTGACTGTTGACTTCTGTCTGGGAATCCCTCCACTCAGCGTTGGTGTATCTTCACCGCACATTCTACATACATAACTGTGGAGCACAATATACCCCGTTGTGCTAGATGGCCGTTTACGCTACAAGAATGTTCCACCCTTTGAAAGGTCTTTTTTTTTAATCCTGTTTTGTATCTAGCCACCCACCTCCCTAGAAAAGCCTGGTGGGGGGGACTAGTTTAGTCTCCGATGACTCGACTTTTCGACAGTTAGTACTGGGTTACATGGTACCAGAGGCACACCTGACGTGTGCAAACTTCTAATTCACTTTGACATCACAGACCCAGCCTTCGTTCACCGATTAAAATAGACCTAGTGGCGTAACTGTTATTATTTGTCTTCTGGTGTCCATTCGTTTATGAGGTGCTCTACATTATAATCAAATTCTGAAGTAGACGATGGCGTCTTTCAATGTTGGATCCCAACTGGCTTCCAAATTCCGAGCACAGCAAGTAGGCGACACGAATGGCTTGATGATAAATACAAAGCCATATTTATCAACTTTCACGTCTCACTTGACCAACATCAAATAGCTTCTTTTTTTTACTACTTGTTCACGGAATACAAGCCCTAAGAGCCACTCAAACGAAGGCTACTGAATGAAGTTGTTGTATGAACGCAAGAGGTTAAGATTGTAGTCATCGGGGAAGCATCCTTTCGGGAGTTTGTTCCACAAAGTAGCGGTTTTGGGGTAAATTACCATAACATGACCATGGTCGATTTATCAGGAAGAAGACTTCCTGATGTTATCGGATTAGATCGGGGTCGATGCCATCGTGTGGTACCTTTGAAAAGTGCCTGAAAACCATACCAAGTTGACCCAAGCTTTGTGAGTGAAACTGGATAGACGGAACCCTTGGGGACCGTCGATAGCTGTGCTAACACGGTCAGAAGTCATCGTAGCCGAGGGCTTGAGCGTGCTGGTCTTGTCCAAATTGCTGATCACGCTAGATAACACGCTCTTTCCCAGAAACTGTAACTAAGGTCTGCTCAGCTTAGTTGCAGTATAAACCACGGGTGGGCTCTATGGGTGTTGAATAAACACAAATGCGCCTCAGCAAGCGTTTGCAATAGGGATTTGCTAACTACCCTAGTAGACAGGTATCCTCGAATACGAGTGGCCAATTATAAAATAGAATACAAAGGGAATGGGGAGAATTCAACACAGTATTCGCGGCATAACGAATGAGTTAGCTGTGAAGGTCTGAATTGGTGGAAGTAATGAATTTACTTGGTTAGAATATTTACCATGGATATAGCAATAGATTAGCGATAGGTTTACATTTCGTCTGGAGGAAAGGAGTTGCTGAGTAGAAAATAATTCATCACTCGTAGACCTTTTTGAACTCTACCAAGGCTGGAGTGTGAGGACTGGACAGCCCTTGCCCATATATGGCAGCAGTACTCCATTTTTGGCTTGATCTGAATCTTCTAAATATAGACCATGACAGAAGGAGTAATGTATTTTCTGAAATGCCACAAGGAACTGACCATTTATCAGCATATTTTCATCCGCTCCTTTTGAAAGGGTTTTTACGAAGTGGCGTCAAAAAGATCACGAATTAGGACTCTAAAAACTGTCTTACCCCAACAAATAAGATATTTAACACTTCATGTAAATTTGGACACTATCCTTTTCAAAATAGTCCCCTTGGGAAAGTACACAGTGGCCCACTGCCTTTTTCTCATTTGGAAACACCGCAGGATTCATCTTATTGAAAGTTATCCAATATTGCTTTCAATACTGTTTCAATTTCATTTACACCATCATCTTCAATTTCATTTTGGAGATCACAGTGGAAAGAGCAAGTATTAAGAACTATAGGACAAAATTCACAGCAACTCAATGCATATTCATTTTTTTCCTGAGAAATCCAATCATATGAGAGCTGATAGATACTTCGGCGACAACCATTATAGATGCGTTCGCATTTTCATCCTACTTTTCCCGGCGTTTTGTTGGTGCTTAGTCGCCCTAAACAGTCATCATCTAGAACCGGTATTCAACATGTTTGAAACACGCGTGTTACTCAAAAACCTATGTTTGATCTAAAGAATATTCACTAAAACATGAAACATTTCAAGAGATTCAGTCCAAATCTTTGCACAAAATTTGTTGCAAGAACATAATCCAAATTTGTCAGCCATCGTAAAGATCGCGGAGCCGTTTCAACATACAGTTACAAAAACCTTTCGTAATAACTAAATACGATTAGATAGCAAGAAGCATATTGCCACAGTAACCTGAATACTAATGAACAAAGGCTGTGCGCGCATTTCAATTGAATGTACCACAGAACGTACAGTCCGGAAACTTCCCAATATCATCTCGTAAATGATAAACTTTTTGTTATTTGTTTATATAAAGGTAAATCTAATAACATCAAATTACTTTTTAAGGTTTCTTTTCGTTAAAACGATTCTCCATCATTTATCTTACAATAGACGACCAATGAAATTGGTATCCACAATATATTTTAGACAACTGAAAAAATTTACGGAGACGAACAGTCACAGTCTAAGTTTAAGAATTAAATGAAAGAACTATTTCTAAACTAAATTTCTAAAAATATTATGTCATATTTGGATAAAAGATCTTTTTTATATTTTTAGCTCTATCAATAGTGCTTTTCAAAAATAAACTTTATAAACCGAGTTCAAAATTCAAATGTGAAAATTTTAACAAAACACCGATTTAAAGATTTCGGTTGTTCTATTTCGAAAAGTGATCATTCTCTTTCTTACAGAGTTTAAATCTGAAGAAGGCTGTAGAATGGATTGGCCGAAAAGTTGCGTTAACAACATAAGCAACACAAAGCATGAATTCAAAATTCCGATCAACTTGAACTGATAATGTTTCTTCTCAAAATTACAAAAGGCGTCTTTCATAAAGATTACACATCCTGAAGAAGGCTCTAGAATGAATCTGCTGACAGAAACATCAGAGAATGAGTTCAAACTACTCTTGAAATGATGATAGTTCATTTCATTATCACAGACGGTAGTTTTGAAGAAGGCTGTATAATGGATCGGCCGAAACGTTATTTCTCAAGGATTGTAAATAGATTTTTTTTTCTGACGGACATATATTGTAAAAAAAGTGCTTTCATTTAGACTAATTGATCCTAAGTACAAATCCTCCAGGTTCGACCCTTTTACTGGTTGAAATGTAAACGTAGCTTCCTATTAGATTTGATTTAATTCAAGTAAATTGTTAAAAAGAACAAATGAGAATTTTCGTGATTAAGAAAATGTCGATAAAAATGATTTTCTGTTTGTCTACTTTTGTTAAATAAATAATACATTTTTATATATGCTTGCATGTTCGAAATACTCTGCTGTAATTATTTTAAATTCTTAGACGAAGTATTTTTGTTATTAATTTTTGCTTCGTCTTTTCTTCATTATATTGTAAATTTTAACCACAATTTTCTATGTTGATCATAAAAATCGCGGCATATAAAAATAAAGACCAGATTCATCGCGAGACCATGTTTTGCAGACGGCATTTTAACTAATTCGGCGAAGGAATACTAATAAAAGACTAATAATGAAAATAAGATATTTCTCTTTTTGTAGATGTCATTGAGCCATTCTAGATGGAATAGAAAAAGATGTAGCTCCTCGTTTTTTCTGGTCTTCTAAAGAGGACCAATTTTAATCACAAATGAAGAAATATTAGAAATATTTGTTCTTTTTAGCTCATCGTCCACTATCGAGTACAAGTGTTACAGCGAACTTTACATATGGAAAAGAGGCACTTATAAGTATAATCAGAAAGAGACAATTGAAATTTCTACGGTACATAATGAGGAAAGAGGGCTTGGAGAATTTGACACTTACAGGACATATTAACGGCATAAAGGGCAGAAGAAAGCAAAGAATAATCATAATTATTCGACTGACTTCAATACCTTCATATATTTTCCTCTTATTCTCCCACTCTCTTTTCATTTAACAAGCCCAACACACTATAAATATTTATTAAGTTCACCTTAGTGTAAGACTACTATAGCGGAGTCTGCTGCGAATATCGAACTCACTCCAGTGACGATTGCTTTAACTAGATTTGTTTGCTCTACACCGATGCACTTGACCTACAGTAACCTTTCTCTCTCTCTCTCTCTCTCTCTCTCTCTCTCTTGCTCTCGCTCTCTCTTTCTTTCTTGACGTTACTCTTTTTCTCTCATTTTCTTTCGGTATTAAGTTATGACACAAGGCCATATGCAAGGGGCAATAAGAGGAAATAGGAGGATTTGTCACATCTGTCTTGGAAAATCAGCATTCGTTATTTTGTTTTTTTTTGCATATTATATGTTGCTTTGACCTCTGGCACCATTTGGAAATACTTTAAAATTTCAGTCAAGAAGAGGCTTACTTGACGTCGGACGATTAACTGAAATCATCTCTAAACCCTTTTCTATATTTGTTCTTACACTGTTTCTGTTGCATACTGATCAAGAAGAATGATGCGGAATTCTCGGAAAAAATACTTGTCTCTGTTCACCATTCGATCTTAAATTCACCTCCCAATAACTGTTAAACGTCATTGCATTGGTTTGCATTAATTTGTCTATTTGCTGAAAAAACAAAGTACTGAAGACTGTCGAATTTTTGCTTGACAGCATCGTTCTCCTTTCTATCACGGTCAGCAATGAACTTCCTTGGGAATCTCTGCCTATATTCTAGGAAACTCACATTCGTTTATGGATAGCTAAGACACCACCAATTACTGAAATGTTGCAAAAAATACTTTGGTCTTCTAAAAACAATGATGTTAGAATAATTCTTAGGACTAATTTTAACAACAATTGAGGAAATATTAGAAACATTAGTTTTAAAATTCAATTATTATACAAAAATGATTAACCAGTTATAATATATCTTTCACTTGAAATGCTAAAAAAAAGATAAGTAGTTATTAGTTGTAGTAATAACAGTACAAAGGGCACTGAATGTTCTCGACAAGCCTTATATCCCAAAAGCAATTTACTGATTTTGGTGATTGAAATGTTGATTTTGGAAAATGAGTTGAAATGACAATTTTTGCGGCGTGTTAATGGTAGATTGTCTCATGCAACAAGGGCGCTGAATGTTCTTGACAAGCCTCATGTCCAAAAATCAATTTACTTATTTTGGTGATTGAAATGTTGATTTTGGAAAATGAGTTGAAATGACAATTTTTTGCGGCGTGTTAGTGGTAGATTGTCTCCTGCGACAAGGGCACTAAATGTTCTTGACAAGCCTCATGTCCAAAAATCAATTTACTTATTTTGGTGATTGAAATGTTGATTTTGGAAAGTGTGTTGAAATGACAATTTTTGCGGCGTGTTAATGGTAGATTGTCTCATGCGACAAGACATACTGCGTAACGTTTTGTTCCCATTTCTTTTTTTCAACAATACGAGATTTAGGATACTGGCTCTCTGCGCAACACTTCTTCTTTCTTAATAGGAGAAGGCTTGTAACTAGTTATGGTGCATATCAAATTGTATTTTTTCTGGCAGATTAACCTTCTTTTAGGTGGACTGCCTTAAAAGGTTTAATCCGTTAGGAGAAATGGGTTCATGCCTTTGCTATGTGTACGAAGTGAATAAGAAGATGTCAATAATATCAGAAAGAGCAAGAGATATAAAACGATAGACAGAAATGAAAGTTTTGATCTCAGCTTCGGATAAACCAATTTGAAATAATATCCTTTTTATTCAGCATATGATATATTGCTTTGTGCATTTTCTTTACTGATGGCACCTTCACTCCTGTTCTCAAACGTGGTCCATGTAACATTCCTGGGGTCCACACAAAGAAATAGTTATTTTACTAGTGTATATACATGTTCCATAGAATTTAGTTGTTAAATACAAGTTTCTTTTCATTAAATTAGTTTTACTTCAAAATAAAGCCTATACATTTACTATTTCTATAATATGATTACTGTATTTATTTATCAATAAAAAATAAAATAAGGTTTTATTTTCATCGAATAGTTATGAGGGTCCGCAAAAAAAAATTAAGAGAAAAAGTGGTCCATGGGTGAACAAAAGTTGAAAACCATTGCCCTAAAGTGTACGAAAGTAAGCATACCCTGGTAAAATACTAGGATTTTATTAGTCTTAACAACCAATCCCTAATTCAAGAAAAAGCAAGAATAAATAAAAAAAAATATATAAAGTAACTTAATATGGAATAATTTTTCCCTTTGATGTCTTTAAATTTCTCATGGGCAAGGTTGCAGACAGCTTTTTACGAAAAGAAGGATCAGTATTGTTTCATTCAATATTGATGGCTTAAAACAGTTAATGAGTATTTGACAAGTATTTCCCGCTTAATTCGTGTTCAATGTGAGATCAAATATTTTTTATAAATATAAAATATGAACTCTGGTCAAGCTAAAAGATGAGCGAAATAGATTTGTCACTTTCTGGTCGTCTTTGAAATGCGGGCAGAAGCATTATCTTGTAGAAAAATAATATCTGGTTGTTCCTCTTTAGAAAAAAAAACGACTTTTAAATTCTGGAAAGTAAGCCTTTCTGCAGTATTCTCTATAATATTGATTTTTTCATTGAAAAATGCAAAGAATATGGCACAAGGCTGAGAAATTGATGGACTGGGAAAATTTTAGTTTTCACTACTGCAGCATTCGCTATCTTAATCATTCTTCATTTCACCATAACATTATTTTCATTAAGAAATATTTCATACAACAATCACCAAAAAGTCATGTTCTGTCTATGAAAATTCTACATAAATTCGTATACTTCATTTATTTTTACAGAGGTCAGCTTTCACCTGCGAGAAAACTCTCATTGATATCGGCATTCGTGATAGAAGGAACATTAATTCCGTGGCAAACGGCAAGGCTCATTTTCATCTGTCTATATCGGCATGTAGATTTAGACATAGCTAAGTTTTTCGAACCTCTGATTCGCCTATGATCCGAATAATCTACAATTTAAAAACTTTGCCAACTTAAGAATTCTAAATTGACTCTCTAACTGGAACGCTGATGCGATCAACGGAAGACATTGCATTGAGAAAGTGGTTTACACGCTAAAAACGCCTCAAAAACGACTACCAAATATTCTGATAAAAGTTGAAACCTCTTTGATTGAATACTTTCATAATCAATTACAATGAGAAAGTTCTCTTGTAAACAACAAATATTAACACTGAAACCCTTCTCAGATTCTGGATCCTTAGTCCATCTAAGTTTTCAAGTACTTTCTTGGAACAGGCTCCCTGTCCTTTTAGGAACTTTAATTTAACAGCCTTATAAAAGGAGAGTTTATAAATATTGGATTTATTCCTAAAGAAAATCGTTAATTTCTTTAGTTGCGGTTAAACGTGGCCATTTAGTAGAATCATATACAAGGCGTCATTCGTTTCCGCTTCTTATGATGAACAAAAGTCTCTTCACATCTGGAGAATTCATGAGGGGGTTTCTAAACTTTATTGTTTGGTTCAATAAATTGAAAATTCTATAAGATATTATTCAGTTCTTAGTCTTCTTGATTGGAAATATTGCATTCCAAGTATTATTTTTCTCCTTTTTCTTTGTGGTGAGGAACGTATTCTGTTTTTTCAACAAATGGGCCTCTGTGTCACTTTCGTGTTGTTATTGTGATAGGAAAATTGATGAAAGTAGCATTAATAATAGGGACAAGATGTCCTGCATATCGGCAGCCGGTAAAACTGGATCTACTGACTCTCTCTCTCTCCCCCTTTATATATATATATATATTCTAGAAAATTTAAATAGATTTTATTTTTAACTTTTATACCAATATTTTTATTAATTCAAATGTTATTATCAATTGTTATTGGATATTTGTTTTGCTAAACTGTGACGCTCTCCGTAGCCGAGCGGTAAAGCACACTGGATCAGACGGTGATTACTTCTACTAGCAGGGGACATAGATTTGATTCCTGTCGGAGAGCATATTCTCTTTATTTAGATTTATCGAATGCGCAGGACAATAGACGTAATACACAGTGTTTAAAATAAATATAAAATGGGACATCTATTTCAGATACGGGTATCCACTATAATAATATTTGAAGTAATATATATATATATATATATATATATATATATATATATAAATTATTTGTTTAAACGTTGTTTTTATTTGAGTAGATGCTCTGTTTTTTTTTTTATTAAATAATGTATGTATTTATTTATTTATATCTACCGGCCTAAATATTCGAGAAATCCTGTTAGAAAAATATACATCCTCCTGCAGGATTCGAACCTACGTCCTCTAGGGGTAATTGTCATTAGATCTGATGTGCCTTGATCTCTCGGTCACGTAGGACCTTCTCATTAACCAAAGTCCGAATAGTGCTTTTGAACACATATCTTTCACGATTATCGAAATAGACATATCTGCTCTGTTTTGTACCTTAACGGAAACAAAGACGGGAAAGAAGAGGGACGTCTGAAAATGGCACCCAATAAAATAAATGGCTTCAAATAAAAAAAACGGCGTCCATTAAAATAAATGGCTTCAAATAAAAAACGGCGTCCATTAAAAAAATGACATCCAATAGAAATATTCAAGTTACAAAGCAAACATTTCACATTATATTTTTCATCGAAGTCATGCAGATGATGATTGTTGAATTAAAAAAAATGTAAACGTCCAGATGAACTAGTGTTTTTTATGTAGTCAAGACAGATCCTTTTTTGCAATACATTAGAATTAATATCAGGAAAACGCATTCAACTCCTTACTCCAAGTATCATCCAGCGTGTTTATCTAACTTTTTATTTGATGTTAAAGTTAATGTAAAATCTCCAAATAATATTTTTTGAATGAAGACAATAGTTTATGACGCAAATGCCTATTTAGGATACGTGAATCGCAAGCTAGGTAATAAGTTTTAAGGGACCCACCATTTTGCTTATCAAGAGTTTTACAATAAAATTTAACTGCAGTCAGAGTCGACAACTGAATCCCGTCCTTTTTATCATACACATTCTCTCTCTCTATCTTTTTGGAACGTGAAAATTAATATATAAATGTAAATATATCTTGAATTGTATTTCGATATAATCTCTATATGAATAGTTTTTGTTTTTGTCAGTAGCAATAGCAATTACACACAATTTGCAAGATAAAGTTTCCGCATTTTTAATGAAAACATTTTCCTATGGAATTTGCTTTGACTAAATCTGACCATAGCTTATACATTTTAAAATGGACGCGAGCGAATTGGCTAAAAAGTGCAAGTTCCATTAACACCGTACAAAACTGAGCCTTTGTTATAGGGCTACAAAATAGGAGTAATACTGGTTTTACTTTAGTCTATCACGTTTGCAGAAATAACTTATAGAGGCTTACAAATTTTCGTCTTTTTCAATTCGGCAGTTTCATCGTGTAGAACGTTTTAACAGACAAAAAAAAATTAAGGATGGAAATTGGATCAATAATAAAATAATAGATTTACTTTATTGATAAATCGATATCTGCATAAATAGCGGATGAAATGAGGCTTTCTGAACAGACAATTTATAACCATTGTCAGAATCGACAGATCAATTGATAGATCAGTACAGTCACTAACCGTTGGCTCCAATCGTTAATGTACGAAAGCATGTAAAGTCTACGATTTTGCATTCAGATTTTCAAGATCAGGCCATCCTTTTAAAGAAAAAATTACCTTCCCATATTCCAGAAGGCGTCATATTTACATACTTGTAAATTATGCAATATAGAAGCGACCTAAATTTCGTCATCTCCTTTCCTTCCTCTTTCTTTCTATGTATTTGTTTTTTTTTTTTTTCATTAGTTGGTGTACAAATCTCGCCTTAAGAAACACTCAACACTGGCAAAATGAAGCCAGAAAATCTTTCCTATTTTCAGACTAGCAAACTATGTGTTTATAAACTCGTATAAATAGGTATATATAAATAGGTATATATAAATAGGTTTATATAAATAGGTTTATATAAATAGGTATATTTATGAAACAAAATATCTGAATGCACATTAATTGTATCTCTTTTTTTTTTTCATGTACTCAGTTCGTTCATCTTTTTTTTTTCATGTACAATATTCGTTTGCTTATTAAAAATAAAATTTACATAATAAACCCACACGAACTCTTTGGCCAACCCACCAGTTTTTTTCTTTTTTTCTTATACATGGTGCGATGAATAATTGTTGTCTAAATTATGCAAAAATGAAAATAACACTGATATCTCATTTTAACACATATATTTGCCAAAATTATACAAATATATCTTGAAATACTAAAGAGTAAATTCGGAACCACCTACAACACTTCTGAGCTGTCTCCTTGTTTAAGTTGGTGAATCCTGCCATAATCCTTGCTTTCAGTCATCTTTGGTGTTACAAGGAGTTTTGATGGTCTCTCGCTGAACTGTGCCCCACACTAATAATCAAGGGAGTTGCAGTCTGGTGAGTTAGGTGCTCAGATGTAAGAGTTGATGAGGTTGCAGAAATTGTCTGACAGCCATGACTAGGTTCTCCTGCTTGTGTGACATAGTGCAGAGTCATGTTTCCTGACATAGAGTATTCCAGTAGCCACCCTCTCGACGCGGGAAGCTCTACATCCTCAAGGCAGTTGATATAGTCCTCCGTGTTGAATCTGGGGCCCTTTGGGAAGATGAATCTAGGGCCTTTTGGGAAGATGGCATAACGTCGTCACCACTTGTGATTACTCCAAACATCATGATGTTGACTGGATATATATCATCCACCTCTTTCCGAATCATTTGCACTGTCCTCACCCAAACGCCCTGAAATGTTTGTATTGGTGCTTCCGGTGCGAATGCCAAGCAGTACAGTATGCCGTTTCCAAATTTTTGGCGGAGTGAATTGACTCATGGTGTTTTTTTTTTCTCACAGACGGTGCCTAATTGACTCTACTATACTGTGCAGTCAAGAAAATCAAAAACAAACAACGCGCATGCGCGAAATTAAAAATATAAAAAGGCGATAATTAATCCATTGCACTCTGTGCGAGTTCATGTCTATTAGTACAGCGTGTATTGGTACAGCAGAAAGATACAAGTGTGGAACACATATTATGGATTGAACTTACTTCGATAGTTAATGGTCCGCAAAAAAAAGAAAAAAAGAAAGCGTGTCCCATTGCACAACTGTAGGCGCCTTTCTTACTTATGAAACATTACATCGTCTGTGATTAAACCAGTGGGCACCCAGTGAGGAGCGAATCCACTATACTAATAAGTCATTTTAAGACGGCCTCCACTCATTGTCATGCAACCGGGAATTAGATTTAATACAATAAATTTTTGGTCTAGTTCTTGAGATGACGATTTTTCATTTATTAGGAGCATTGTTTTCATCTTTTATTATTATACTTGTAGACACAACAATTTAGCCGTTTACTTTCTGGCCATCTTCAGGTGTCTATTTTTGGTTAAAAGGTCTTGTAATAGTTCGAATAAATTCATGATGAAAGTTTCTCAACTTCTTCTTTATGTGCCGTGAACACTCAGGACGTAGGTGATCATAGCTCTCCACAACTTCCTACTCCTTGTAGCTCTTTGTCTTTCTGTTATTTTTCCTAAGCCCTGTTCCACTATCCATTTATCAAGCTCGCTAAATCTGTTATACTTTGTGTTTCTCTGTCCCTCTTGCCCTATATCTGTCCTGTGAGTATCAGATTTTCCAAGCCTTCCTTCCTCATTTTATGTCCTACAAACTTCAACTGTCTTTTCCTGATGTTTCCTTTTTGTTTCCATTTTCTCCAAAACTTTGTCGTTGCTCACATGTTCAGTCCATTTTATCCTCAGTATTCTTCTGTAGAACCACATTTCTGTTGGTTCAAGTTTCCTATTCATTTTTGAGGAGATCGTCCAGTACTCACTACCATAAAGGAGGACAAACAGTAAAAAATTAGCTGAGGTGTACGGACCCGATGTTATAACGTCGTACCGTCTGATATTGGATTTAAACCGCTTCAAAATATACCATTGGACGGTACCCTAGTAGATATGTATTGATTAAAAAGGTTTGCAGTAACCTGATTGTCATTAATTTAATCTCTGACTCAGTTATTGACATCCATATGCTCTTTTAATGCAGGAAGGCAAGAGTGAAATAATACAAGACAGCTCGTATCAGCAAAAAATTAACAATGAAGATGGTTGGAGGGTACACAGTCGAAACAATCTATCTATCTATCTATCTATCTATCTATCTATCTATCTATCTATCTATCTAACAACCAAGATGAAAACAATAGTCGGGGGCAAAGTCACCAGGTTAGAAATATATGGGTTGAGAAATTTCTTTGTACCAATCCTTACTCGTTGCGAAAATCGATTGACGCCAGTGGGAAATTTGTAACTACTTCAGTTACAATGTAGGTTTTCCTTTTTTTTGCTGAATATTTATCCAATACAAGGCTCAAGAACCACTAAGTGTAGAGAGTAACTGAGTGACATTGTATGAACAAAGTAGGAGGAAGTATGTGCAGAGTATGAGGATATGTAGAATACATAACGGTTGACCTTAGACTTGAAGAGGTTAAGATTTTAGTGATCGAGAAAGCATCTTCTCGGGAGTCTGTTTTGTAAAGCAGCCGTTCGTGAGAAGCTGTCTGTATGGAATTTCCTTCTTACCTATGAAATATGAAGAGACTGAAGAGGCTTCGACCTTGTTTATATAGCATGAAGAATCCTAGCTGTAAATGTCTGAACTGATGGAACTAAGCAATTTAGCGCGCCTGAATATTTGCCATGAAAATAGCGATAGAATAGCGATAGGTTTACGAAGTTTTGCTTGTGGGGAAGGAGTTGTAGAGTGGAAAATAATTAATAATGCTCCATTTTGGGTCTGATTTGACTTTTGTCAAAATAGAACATAGCAGGAGTAGTCAGGTACATTCTGGAACATCTCAGGGGGAACCAGTCTTTAACGATGGATCGCATATGCAAGTTCCAATTGAGATCTAGTGTGAACTTGAGTCCCGAACGTTCAAGGTAATGAAAACTCCTTGGGAGTACAGCCATTCAACATGATTTCCCCAGGAAGGTTAATAGCTTGGTTTTTTAGCTATTGAACTCTACAAGCCAGTTTATACCCCGTTGAACTGTTAAAACTAAATCAGAGCAGAGATCAGTTGTCAGTTGATAATCTGAAATGTTTAAAGAACATTCATAAACTATGAAATCATCTACATAGATATTTACTAAAGATCTGACAATGTTTCTGAGCAGGTCGCTAATATAAAACAAAAAGAGGGTAAGGCCGACAACAGAGCCTTGATGGACGTCAGCTTTCATCTTGTGGCCTTCAGAAGTTAACGATGGCCTTCATTGTCTTACTCAATAAGAACGACTTGATAATTGTAGACACAGATTACTTTGGTACAACCGTAGAGCACCCAGTGAAACGGGAACTCTCCTCAGTAGTAACGAGTAACAATGAATATTTAGTAAGCTCACTATGACAGAAACACATTCGTAATCACCATTAGACTCATCCAACTCTTTTTGAATCCTCTGAACTATCCTCAGATTTACAACCAAACACGCGATAGCTAAAACGTCTAAAAACTGAATAAATAAAATCACCGAAATGTAATTGTTGTTTGTTAAATAACGTTTGGCAGAACTTACTAATTGATACTAGATATTGCGTCTCTTGTATTCCTGTTTTTATTTTCTACTTGTCAACGAATTTATCGGTGACTCTAGAGAATGTCACGTTTTTATGAGGTTCTTATTTTACACTTTCATTTCTTACTTCTTTGACGGATCACTGAAGCTTCTTTGTGTGACAGAAAATTCAAAATAAATGTACTTAGGAACAAAAGCAAAAGACAAAATAATTTGAAAATCGATTTAAAGTCACATATATTTACGAAAGATGCAAGTACTTGATTGGCCGCTAGGTCCCATTATTTTACTGCTGCAATTACTAGATGTAACCGTAAGTTACAGTTTCTTCTCTTGCACTTCTTGCTTTTGGAAATCTTTCCCAGTTTCTTGCTTTCCAGTCAAATTTGGGATGCGGGCATATCACGTTTAAACACCAGTTCTCGTACGATCACCGAAGTTAAGCAACGTTGAGCCTGGTCAATATCTAGATGGGTGATTGCTTGGGAATATTAGGTGCTGTAAGCTTGAAGGTACGAGTGGTGTAGTGGATAACAACTCTGAACAGGAAATCAGAAAGTCGAGTTTCAATTCTAATCGGGTTCGTTATATTCATTTACACGGAAATACTATTGGGAAAGGTATGAATTCACTTCTTCCTCCCTAACTATGGGTTAATTAGTAGGACTTGTATCAGTAAATCTTTATTGTCCCCCAAACCTTCTTACAACCCTAAAATATTTTCTGGCTTTAAATAACTTGCAAAAGGTTGATAAGTCATAAAAAACAAATCAATCAATCCAGTCAAATTTGATTCAATTTGATTCAAATCTTTTAATGTCAGTCGCCATCTTCTGTCTCCTTAATTCATGGTTTTTGTCCTTATTAATGTTTTTTTTTTTTCATTTTAGCAGCCATTTGTGTCGTAGTGGCTTTATCGACTTGCTTGGGGTGAAATGATACAAAAAAGTTAAGAATGAACTTACAATCCTAGCGAATATTGCCAATAATAGAATAAGAGCCTAGAATAGATAGCGTAGTTTTGTACAAGGACATACGTATGAAGTTCCCACTCTGTGAGAATTTATTACATTTTGTATTTTGGTACATTCTCACTAATATCCTCGTCTTTGTCTTCGAGGAACGCTGTAGAATACAACAGGCATATCGTTATGATAACAACGGAAAACGAAAAAAGCCCAAGTTACAATATCGCGTTTTAAAAATTGACAAAAATTGAAAACTATTAATTGATAGTTTATTAATATATACGAGGGTGTGCTAATAGGTTCTACGTTCGTTCCCCTAACAAAATCTGAAAGGGTTTCTTAGTCGGGCCGAGAATTTTTCACCGTTCCTTATAAATAATTTAATTAATGACATTGGGAAAGGCAAGAATTCACTACTCATTTTAAAATCTCATCTTTCTCTAAATAGCACTTTATTTAACCACGTTATTGTCATACATTCCAATATGATATATATATACATATATATTAAATAAATTAAAAACATTATGACTGCTTATTTTGATCATAATCCTTTCATATCCACGAATATTTTTCCGTATATTATAATTAAATAAGGCAAGAAATATACGGAAAAATATTCGTGAATATGAAAGGATTATGATAAAAATATGCAAACATAATGCTTGTAATTTATTCAATCAGACATGCCTAAAAGACATTTGCTACTTAAATACACACACACACACACACACACACATATATATATATATATTTCCGTCTGGCAAAAGTACTCTGCACCATACTACACAAACAGGAAAACCCAAACATGTCTGTCAGGCAATTTCTGTAACCTCTTACACCGGACCACCTAACTTCCCGGGCTGCAACCCCCTTAATTATTGTGTGAGGGGCGGGCAGTTGAGGGAGAGACCAACAAAACTCCTTGTAACACCAAAGATAAACTGAAGTCAGGGATTATGGCAGCATTCACCAACTTAAATAAGGAGACAGCCCAGAAGAGTTGCAGGAGATTCCGAAGTTGTCTGTTTTATTGAATGAATTTACTCTTTAGTATTTCAAGATGTTTTTGTGTAATTTTGGTAAATATATCTGTTAAAATGAGATGTCAGTGTTATTTTCATTTTTGCGTAATTTAGACGACAATTTATCCATCGCAACCACACACACACACACACACACACACACACACACACATATATATATATATAAAGGTATGCTATATTTATGGGTAAAAGTGCTCAATATCAGGGATAGAGCGTATGTAAATATAAAAGTGGACACTGAGGGCAACACCGAGCGGTAACAGTCTGTTTCATTTTTGAACGCAATCTTCAGACTATGTTCTAAAGTTTTCATTCAAGCATGAACCAGATTGTTGCTGTTTGATGTTGATCTCAGTGTCCATTTTAATTTTTTTTTCTGTTACCAACGTTTCAATTAATTAGAACAGTATTAGAACAACTGAAAAATAAGGAAAAATCGTTCCCATGATAAACTTATTGCTTAGAAACGCAGTGGTTAATTTGAAACCTTTTTGAAATTTTAATACTTAATAAAATGAAAAATAAATATTTGTGAATAAAAATGTCTGTGAACAAATTAATGAAATTTAAACAAAGGAAAATATTGAAATAAATGTTAAATATAGTGATTTGATGACGGAACGATAAAAATGAGTTGTGATAAAAAATATCGTGAATATCTAAGGAAAATAGAAAATACAAATAATTTAAATTATAATTCATAATATTATTTCACCTTAAATTTATAGGTTCTAATTTTATTACTGTTAAATGTTAAAGAAATAACCACAACGTTTCTAAGTAGCAAATCTGTCATGGTAATCATTTTTCCTTAACTTTATTTCAGTTGTTCTGATGATGTTCTCATTGAACGAATGAAGCGTTAGCAACGGGATAAAAGTTTTGAACATTCAACTGGTTATAATATATTCCATCTTACATTGTTCGGATATTAGTCATTTTATTATTATTATAAACATACTGTTTAATAAAAAAAATGGAGCGTCAATTCAAATTTCAGTATCCACTAAAAATAACGTATAAGTAATAAAAATCTGTCGGATTGATAAATAAAAAATCCACCCTTTTCTTATATGCGTGTGCGTGTGTGTGTGTGTGTGTGTGTGTAATGTGTGTGTGTATATATTTATATACATATATATGTATGTATGTATGTATTATTAGTTGCAGTAGTAGTATTAGTATTATAAGATATAACAAAAACATGTTAAAATCGCTACACAATAGCTTTCGTGTTTCGGCACTAAGTTGTGCCTCTTCAGGCGATGGTAAGTGACTGTAAGAATAATATATTGCTCTACTTTGTATGGAGCATTTTTATAACAGACTAGCAGTAGAACCCAGCGTTGCCCGGGGATGTAACAGATGTAGATAGATCAAGTATCGACCATCATAATGACTGAAAAATAAAATTGACAAAGATTATTGTTTAAGGTTGACGGACACGCATGTCTTAATTAGTTTTCTTTTTTGTTTTTTTTTTACGAATTTGTCAAACCCAAACTCAAACATTGTTTTCAATTGTTATGAGTCTACCGATTGAATAGAATTTTATTATAAACAATTGTCTTGTAAATGGAATTTTTGAAGCATTCTGAATGTAAAAATAAAGAAAAACGTGTGCAAGACAATAAGAAACACTACCTGCCAAAAAATAAAGTGAAGTTTTGTTGAAATCGGTTGAAAAATGTAGGAAATCCGATCCAATATATAAACGAACACACACACACACACACACACACACACACACACACACACACACACAAACTGGGTTTTATAATAAGTATAACTCGATATGAGTTGTCACCCTTTCATTCCGCGAAAGCGATACTTCTTAATCGTGTTTTCAAATTGATTTCGTGCAAAAACAATTGTGTTTTTCCAATTTTTTGGCGCTGTCAGAACCACCGCAAGGTAATTTTACGTAGTCCTGTGAAGTTTTGTTGAAAAATGTAGGAAATCCGATCCAATATATAAACGTACACACACACACACAACCTGGGTTTTATAGTAAGTATGATAATTAATTTGATTTTTTTTATTATATATATATATATATATGAATAATAGGAAATGAATGGTAAATCGGAAAATTGTATTGTGACGAGTTTCTTTTCGGAAAGAAACATGTCGCAGATCATTTTTCTATCATATCATTTATTTACTCACGATATTGCAACACTTAAAATATTCTGAAATACATGAACGAAAATAAAAAAAATAAAAATTCAATCTTCATTAAAAACAAAAAGAATATAGATTGTAGATATCTATGTTAAGTGTCAAAATTAATTACGAGTCCAATGTTTGCTTTTCACATAATCTGTTAGCATGTGATTTAAAAATCTAGTTTTGTCTGCTTTTTTTTTTAGGTTGTATCAACATAACAGTGAGTGATGACATGACTGTGACAGAAAGTATAGCGGTCAGTGGGAAGCACACAGCCGTTGTAGCTGCTCAACATGAGAAGACCTCTCATGACATTTACATCCAAGACGGAAAGAGCGGAGATGGCACTGCTGTAGCTGTTGAAGCTGCTGCCGAGGATACTGCTGAAGCCTCTGTGCCGACCAGTGACCCACCCCCGAGCAGCAGTGGAAGCAACAGCAACAGTGACTCTGCCAATAGCGACGGGGACAAGAAATCTCAGGAACACAGTTCGGCTGCAAGAATGGTCAGTAACTTCGACTCTTTCTAAATTTTAAGAGTTCTAACTGTTATAATGGCAATGATATAAGATCGTCTATCATATATAGCTCGATCATAATATATATGCAAAGCTAAAAGCGTAACATGCAAATTCAAGTTCATTCCTAACTCCGGGCCGTTAACAACATAAATGCTACAATGTCTATTGATCAACTTCTACCTTTTTTCTACCGACGATGGTCAAAAGTACTCGGAACATTACACACAATTTCGGCAAGTTCTTTTGCAAGGTTTCAACCTACATCAAACAACTTAATCGACACCAGTTTAATCGGTTTAAAAAAATAATAAAGAATAAAGAATAATATATATATATATATATATATATATATATATATATATATATATATATAATATATATATAGTGAGAGACAAACCTACCTAGGTTTCACCTAAACGGATCGTCAGGGAAAGTTTGGCTGACGATCCGTTTAGGTGAAACCTAGGTAGGTTTGTCTGGCTCACTAGGTGTATCTAGGTCTGCTCTACGGTTGTATTGAGCTCTTTTGTTAGTTAGTTGTTACTCGTATCGGGGTTTTTTCTTTGGGCTTCAGACCTGCATCTGTGCGATTCATGTTTGTAGCTCTTTCTTTTATTAAAACCTTTTTTCCCTCGAGATTGATTTGATTATTAGCAAATCAAAAATTCGACGGTTTTTCGAAACGAGTCTAGTTATCTATATATATATATATATATATATATATATATATATATATATATATATATATATATATATATATACATATAAACCGATTAAACTGGTGTCATTATATATATACAGTAGTGGCCATAATATAAGGAACGGAAACAACAAAGACATAAATATGTGTATTACTTAAAAAGTAATGCATAATTTGCAATTAGCAAAGTAATTAGCAATGAAATTTTTACCGAATAAAGATTAGGGTGTAATGCATAAATATTATACAAAGTTACAAAAATTTACATAATAGTTTTTTTTTTTTTAAATAAAGATTAAATGGAACAAAGAAAATAAGCTACTGGACAAAAGTTAAGGAACGATCTTGTTAATACTTGATTGTGAACAAAATATCAACAAAATTTAATATTTGGTAAACATCCCCTTATTTTCAATGACTTCTCTGCATCGTCGACCACATGATCTAATTAATTTATTGCAAAAATCAGCAGTAATTCCCTCCCATTCGTCTTTCAATAACTCCCATAGGTGATCCTGGTTTTTCGGGTTTCTTTTCTGAACCCTTTCTCCAATTATCTTCCAAACATTTTCTATTGGATTCAGGTCGGGGATCTGGGCTGGCCACTTCATTAGGGCGATTCCTTCTTCTTCAAGCCATAACCTTCTGAGCCTTGTAGTAAGGTGCATTGTCCTGCATGAAAATAGGAGATTCATAAAGATTACGGTGTAATCTTGGTACCAGATGCTGCTGAAGAAGCCTTTTGTAAAACTCAGCATTGATATTGCCATGTACGCGAATGATAGGGCCAACTCCTGCAGATGAAATCATTCCCCACACCATCACACCACGAAACTTAATGATTTTCTTGACACATTGAGAAGACAGTCTTTCACCTGTTCTACGGCGTACGTAAGTTTTGCCCTCAGAACCAAAAATATAATAAACTTGGACACGTCACTGAAATGAACCGTATCCCATTGTGCGTCAGTCCAAATAACATGTTCTCTCGCATACTCCAGGGCATGCAATCCTGCATTTTTTTAACCTGCGAGCAACCGTTTTCCTTGAGATCTTATTATCTGTCTCTTCATTAAATTTACAGGCAATTGATGTAGCAGTTTCAAAACGGTTTTTTGTAGATATTCTAACAATTCTTCGATCTTCTCTTTGCGATGTTTTTGGAGATCTGCCGGTTTTTGGTTTTTGCATCTAACGTTTTATCGGTTTTCTACCTGCTAATTACACGATGAATGACACTTTTAGACCTATGAACAATATTAGAAATTTGTAAAATTGACTTTTTTCTTGATAGTTAGCGATAATGAGTTTTTTTTTCTTCAAAAGAGAGCGTTTTGCGTGTAGAATTTGCCATATTGCTTAAAAATAAAGTCCTAATGATAAATGAACTTTTACTTATTGTTGAAAAGCTCCATCGAGTTTTTTAACAATTTAAATTAAAAGTTTATGCAAATTATTAACATCGTTCCTTAACTTTTGCCCAGTAGCTCATTTCCTTTGTTCCATTTAATCTTTATTTAAAAAAAAACTATTATGTAAATTTTTGTAACTTTGTATAATATTTATGCTTTACACCCTAATCTTTATTCGGTAAAAATTTCATTGCTAATCATGCATTACTTTTTAAGTAATACACATATTTATGTCTTTGTTGTTTCCGTTTCTTATATTAAGGCGACTACTGTATATATATATATATATATATAGATAGATAGATATTGACGGAATATATATATGTATATATATATATATATATATATATATATATATATATATATATATATATATATATAGATAGATAGATAGATAGATAGATAGATATTGACGGAATATATATATATATATATATATATATATATATATATATAAATGTACACGCTATGAAAAAAACATGCACCAATGACAAATGCATATAAAAGAAAAATCGAGAAGTATAAAAAATCAATTGTGGATATTCCCGGCGAGTGGATGGAATAATTACCGGAGGGTCCGTTACGAAAATGTAGAGTCGGGATTCTGAAGGTAGCATCAATGCGCCAAATGACAAACACTTTACTTATATTAATTCTCTATCTGTCTGTTTAACACACACACACACATATATATATATATGTATATATATATATAGCTGTCTGTTTGATATATATATATATATATATATATATGATGCAATGGACTAAGTTCGACAATTATTTTGATATATTTTCTGTTTATACGTTATTTTCATAGATACAAATATTTATGTAAATGCTCTGTTTATAATAAACAGTATTAACAACATTTACCGGCCTGAATGTCCGAGAAATTTCATAGAAAATATGTGTCCTCCGTCATGAATCCAACCTGTATCACACACGGAACTGTCATGTAGCCTGACGTGCTATACTATTTAGCTACAGAGGAAGTATCTGGCTAGCAAAGTCAAATTACTGTTTATGTTAAACAGAGTATTTACTTAAATATTTGTATCTATAAAAATAACGTATATATATATATATATATATATATATATATATATATATATATATATATATATATATATATATATATATAGAGAGAGAGAGAGAGAGAGAGATACGATACGATACAAGTTAAAAGTTTGTCATCAAAAAAGTTTGTCAACACAAAATTAGATATAATAAAGCTGGATCAAATGTACAGATTAATATTTGTGCAGGTTTCAAAATAAGGGTTTATCAGCCGTATTCAGCCTCCATATTAATGCAACATGTATTCTCTTTGGGTGTTGACATAGGCCTGTACTCTTGCATACAAATGGCGAGTACTATTCTTTGGGTCATTATTATACACTTTGTCGGTGAGCTATGTGAACGAGTCAAATGTTGTCCCATAATTTCCTTTACATGCAATTGTACCGGCCAGGGAAGATGTCAAATACCTTTCAGTGCATGCTGAATAGCACTGACATCATGTGAATAACCATTATCACATTGCATAACACATCACCATCCTGGTGGGACAACATCGCCATCCTGTTGCAGAAATCCCCAGACGCTGTTGGACAATGTCTGTGATCTATGAATGGGACTCACATGTTAAGGGTGATTATTTTACCATAATCTCAAGTCTTTCGTGTTTTATAACCAGTAATAAATTCTAGGATATAAGTTCTTCAAAGCGGTTAACTATTTGACCGAAACGGAATAGAACAATAAATGAGTAGATGAGGAGTCATATGACAACATACCGGACATTGAAAATTTCCGGTTTTTGGTCTATATGAACAAACAGTAGATAGTTTCGGTCCTATTTTGATGGGGAACAGATACCGTTCGTATTACTAGTCATGCTTCTTGATGTTGTGATGGGCAGAGAGTTGATAGAAGGAAGAATCGACATGGCAGAAATTCTACAAATAGTCACCTAATTACTCGTCCAGACCGAGCAAAAGAAGCGCTAAAATAAACACCTAAATATATTGGAAATATGGTTGAAGTCATAATTTCCCGTTGTGGCGTTTGTTTTTTTCTTTCTCTTTTTTGTGAGCTTGCAGTGATTATTTCCCAGTTGTTGGTTCACACTGACGCAAATGAGAATGAAGATGCAACGTGGAATAATCATTGGCCGGTCGGGAGAAAGTTGGGTGGGGTCTCTGTTGTATGATTATTATTAATGATCTGGATGTCCATGACGTCATTCAGTGCTTTCTGTAGTTCTCTTAATAATAATGATGATGGTGAGTGAAAAAGAAAAAGAAGAATCTTTCTAAATCTTAAAATTTTATTGTGTGTTAATAAGCAAACTTATTTTCTAAAGCTCTTTTTTGTATATTTTCAGGGCGTTGCAATGAGCCTTGGTTGCGTCTTTGTCGCCGCCGCCATAGGAATGACGCAGCTTTAAATAGACATCTCTCTCCTCCTTTTTGACAGCACAATTTATCAGCTGTAGTTTTATTTAGTCATTTAACATCGATGACATTCTTCGTTCAGCCAATGAGCTTTCTCAGTTCTCATTGTACTTCGTTCATCACGGCCGATGTTACCACTGCTAAGATGGCAGTGGTAGCTACGGCTACATCATACTGCTGGCCATAATATTTTAAAGAAATAACCCGGTTTATTTTTAATTACTCAGTACCATTAATTAACTGTAGTCTTTAAAAAATTTTGTTTAATATTTTTATATATATATTTTTTTTAGCTAATATGCGATTCATTCGACTGTTATAAACAAAAGGTTTGTAGAAACTGGTGTTTGGTTGAAAGGAAAAGCATTGGAAATTGGAGGAGTGGGATGGACTCGAACGGCGTTCGTGTATTCATATTTTTGTTTAATTATTCATTAATTAATCTATTGATTACTTTAAATTTTCAAGAAAATAGATAAATTACTGACTTTCACGGAGAAGTCCAACTTTGCAAAAATACAGTTGGGTCTATTTTGCAAATGTCTGTCAGCATAAGAGAAACGTGATGGCCGTATGCGATATTTTATTTGGAAACGTACAAACAACGACAATGATCTGTCGATATAACAACTTTGCTTCGCCTTAAAAAAATCGACAATATTTGGAAAGAAGTGTAATAGAAATAAAATAATATAAGACCAGTGTTGTAAATGTAGTTAATGAACAGACAGAAGAACGATAACGGAAAACGAAAAAAAAATCGTAAAATATAATTGATTTTAAAATTATCTGTCAGCATTTTAACAAAAAAACGATTGGAGAATGTCGATCTAATACGCATGGCAATTCTACGATCATTAAAGTATTGCCTGCATAATTTCATTTAAATAACTTTAATGTTTACTTACATAAATGGCGTATGCTACAAAATTTCATCCTAAAAAAAATAAAATGAACGAAAATCAATCACAACCACTACAATTGCAAAGGAACCAACTGCATTATTTTATATAAAACACTTCATCGTAAATTTTGCCTCCACAAGCGAGACAAACTTCCCCTACCATACAAACGTGAACGAATCGACGCCATTTTTGTTTCACAACAAACTAAAGTCATTTGTGTATTGTCGTGCATTTGCGTGTAATTTATTTTTCTGTCAAAGCCGGTTTGTGTAGATGTATGCTCACTTGGGAAAAAAAATCCCCATGCCAACAAAGTAGAGATACGTAGTCAAAAAATGCCTATTGCAATCTCACCAAGAATATCAATCAATTTCACTAAAACCATGTCGATCTCCGGCCTCGCTGGGACCATTTCCTTTTTGCATTGAAAATAAACATCTTCCTCGATTGAACAAGAGAAATGCAGCATTCGTGATAGATCCTTGGACGCGTCTTCCAGACTATGTCGCTCCGACGTCTGTGATATCAAACGCCATATTTAACATTTTGAGTCCGAAATATAAAACGCGTAGTACAGCTTGATCTCAAAATATGCTTGCTAGCAATATATATATATATATATATATATATATATATATATATATATATATATATATATATATATATGAAGAAAATAACTCTGAAAACCATGAAAATATATATGAATAAACATCGAAATCTTAAAAACAAACAGGTTCTTGTTTGGCAACCTGAGAAAAAGTATGATTATTGGAGTTACTTTCATACTTTAGGTTTTAAAATTGTGCAATGGACAAAGTGATATATATATATATATATATATATATATATATATATATATATATATATATATATCTGCGTGTGTGTTTGCATAGCTAAAAAATAAGCCAAATTATATAGGGCTGTTCGGAAAGCAATATTGCATTTTCAAGTAGGAAATAAAAATGAATGCAAAATAATATATATATATATATATATATATATATATATATATATATATCACATCAAGAGTTTTTGTCTGTAATAATTGTAATTTTTCCCCTATACTAGTTATCTCTTTTTCACTGGCGATATCAAGTATCAGTGTCTTCATTATGACAATATGTTTATGAAGTTGGCGGTAGGACTTCCGTCTCAAACAAATAGCAGAATACAATACTCTTAGCGGGAACATATATTTAAAATCCTGTCATTTTTGACGATACAGGAGAACTGGTCCCTGTTGTAATTTCTATTATTAGTAACTAAAGTCATCCAATACAAAATCAGATTTTTTTCTCCCCACATCGATAAATGTCTTTTTTTCTTTTATTTCTGACTGTTGGGAACATAAAAGAAAATGTTCTAGTGGTTGTAAAACATGATAATTTCAGGATGTAAGGTTTGACGAGAATGGAAGGTAAAGTAAAACTTCCAAAGCCGAAAGACTTTATTTTATCTTGGTATTCATTTACTGAGTGAAACTTTGCATTGTCTCACTGTAGGATGACACCTATTGTCTTCGTTACAATTGCATATTTCATGTGTTAGGCACCATTGTTACAGGGGACAGTTGCTGAGTATATAAAGGTTTCAGTTCTTGGTTTCTTCAGGATCTAGGGATTTCTGCTAGTCGATAATTCTTCCGCCAGAGTATAACTTTCTGGGAATGAAGTCTTAATGTTTGGACCGGTTTTAACATAGATAGCCACGGCATTTCATAATTACTATTAATATAGAGAACCAATTTTTTATTTCCTGCAACAACACAGCAAAGAAAAAGTTCAGTACTTGTAAGCAGACATTTGGAATGGTCGATATTGTTTTTTTTTAGGGGTGGGGGTACTACTATCCGCCTTTATATTTCTTTTCAATAAGCATCAGATATTTGTGCATAGTTGAACGCGATAGATTGTGCCTTTCTGCTAAATATCTGTTGCTTTGTCGAGAACCTTTTTTTCAATAAGGCATTCAAAAAGAATTATCTAAAGCGAAGATTATCAAAACGATCCGCGTAACGATTAAAACGATCGACACATTCACGGCACCGGGATACACAGAGCACATATCTTTCATTGTATGTGTTTCATTTATAAAATTTATACGATATTCAATGGTGAATAAGACATTCATAAAGGTATTCGTCTCTTTTGGTCTTAAACATTGCTTAAATGACAAAAGTAATGTAAAACTAAATTATTACTGTTTAAGATTGATTTGACAACAGTTGCTTCTAAAATGAAGTATTTTAAATGCTCTATTACTTCCCGAACAAGTTAATATATAAATCATGCATACACACTTTTACACGTGTATGCGTGCGTGTGTAAAGTTAGGAAAAAGTGTATGAAAAGTTTGCTTTTTTTTAAAACATAGTGGTCCATGCCTTTTTCTCATATTTGCTTGCATCAGTCAACAATTTGAATACATGTACAAAACTGAAATCTTCCATTTAACCTTTTTACACAATTCATCTGGAGACAACCAAAAGACTACAGTCAGACTTCAAATATTGAAAAAAAAAACTCGACGGGTGACAGGTCGGGTGTGGAATTGAAGCGGCGTGTTTGTTGCGTTTCTCTACAAAGCCAAAAGAAAGTAGCGAAAATATACCGATCAGTATTTCTGTTGATGTGTGTGCGCATGCGCAGATATATTTAGGCCTGCCTGCCATGTTTTCGATTTATATGCGTATGAATATTTTCTAACGCTTATTTAAGTGCCAACGTTTATACATATTTAATGCGTGTCAATTTTCCCTTCCTTTCCTCCAGACCCTTCTCCGATAAAAGATGAAATGAAGAGGATTTTTATGACCATCGATTTTAGAGGATTATATATATATATATATATATATATATATATATATATATGCACATCCGGTCAAAGAAATGGAATTCCGCCATTTTTTTTAATTTTATGGGGAGTTGCAGAAAAATTATCGACCCGACCAAAAGAAAGATTCCAAGATATTTACCATATTTGCTTATTTTATCAGAATTCGGGAAATGTGCTGAGCCGCGAACGTTTCAGTTCCCCATTGTAAAAATATAGATTTTTAATGAAAAGAAATCATCTGTTGTATTTAAATTTTCATAAAGAGAAAATGTGTTTAATAACAACTAAAATTTAACAAGCAATCAATTTTTGTTCTATTCTATTAATCGAACTGTCAGAAAAGAAATTAATTAATGCTGATTTCGACTTGTTCCATCCTTGCTTAACCCTGCAAAATATGAATCTTTGTTTCTGAAATTTCTCGAAGTTAGTCACAGAATTTTCTTTTATAATCTTGAGGTTTGGATTTTGAATTTTATATCTTCGAAAAATGTTTTGAATAATAGTGTGCATGTTGCTGTCGTAGATTGGAAAAACTCTAAGATGAAGATAATGAAAATTTCTAAAAATGTTTTATTGTAATTGTCAGTGAAACGGTGATCCTAATACCTTCACTGACTAAATTATCTCATACCATAATGCTACCACCCCAAACCTTCTTGCTCGCAAATATCACATTTTTCAGTTGATCTTTTGGGGTACTTATGATGCCTATTTAGAAACAGGAAATGTCTTATGAGTGTTAGGTCTTTCTGGTAGAAATCTTACTGGAAATGCCAAGTTCTTTGAGAGATCTCCTGACATCTGGAGACATTTTCTTTCAAATGTTTTAGGTAGATTTATATCTGGGGGCTTTTAAAATTCCAGATCCAATTTCACGACTACTGGTTCTCATTCATGATTCTGGTGGATAATTCTATGAAAGATGGTCAATGGAATATTCAAGTTTCTTTCATTCAACTTTTTCTTGATGGTCCTGAAGCTATGAGCCTCATTATATAGTGAGAGAATTTTCGCTCCTTTGAAGGTGACTACTACTTCTTTCCTTTAATGAGAACCATCAATCCGAAGCTAAATGGATTAAACCTTGCTCATATTACATAAAAAAAAAAAGAAATCAGCCATGATGAGCATATATTATTATTATTTGTACTGGTTGGAAAAAGCTGATTTTTTTTTCTTGCTTAAATATCAAAGATTTAGGCATTTGAGCAATTTCACCGGTAAAAATGTCTATCAGAAAAAAAAAATCT